TATATATATATAACTTTTAAGTATATTTACAATTACAATTATGTAGGGTGTAATATTTCTAATATATTTTAAAGATTATTATACCATAAAAAAAATAAATTATAATATTGTCGAAAATCATAGACATAAGTAAAAAAATTGATAAATACTTATAGTTTTACAATAACTATAATTATTATGTACTTCATCAATAAATAATAAAAAATATATAAATAACATAAATTATTTATACAAATGAACAAATTAATTTAATAGACTAATTATTTTCTATTTTAAGATAAAATATATATAGAAACATCAAATCTATCCGTCTTGTTAATTATTTATAATTTTTCTTTCCTTCTCATTAAAAAAAAAAAAAAAGGAAAAATGTTTTCCGTCTTCTTTTCTCCCTCCCTCCCCCTTGAACTAGAGACACCGTTAGGTACTTGTGGAGTTGTGGTCAGTGTTCTGTTCTATAAAAACCTCTCTGGATTTTGTTTTAAGAAAGCATTAATTTTACTTGTGTGGAAAACAACGTCAGCCGGGTTTAAACTTTTGAGCACACAGTTTATTGAAGAAAAATTAGCTTTAACAATTCAAATCTACATGCTGTGTGACGAAATTTTATTTAAGATCCCCCAATCATAACAATTCGAACATTTGAATTAATCTAATTAGGTAAATTAAGTCCACCCAATAAGTTCTTCATTTGTGGACTTTTTCATGTGGGTTATGAGTAGAAGTAATATTTCGGTGCATTTAATTGATTACTGCCGTGAAAAAAGATTATGTTAATGCGTAAATAATGCATCAAATCATCATAAGTGGGTGTGCACTCAGTGTTTAAAGGAAGCTGTTCTTCTATTACAGTTACAGGGGAATAGTAGGAACAGGGAAAATCAAATAAGTTTTTCCCTATCATATTTTCCTGGATAAATTTCCACAAATATTTAAATAAATTAGGATATGATGTACACCTGTCCTCTTAATTAATGATAGATAGACAGTGAAAATGTAGTTATAACAAGAATGTAAAGTAAATCAAATTGGCCTATCTCCATAATAAAATGTTCACTGTCTGTGCAATCGATTACGTTACATAAGCAAGCCAGAGGATAGAACATGCCCACCATTCGTATTTCTTACAAACCCAATAAAGGAGAAAAAGATATAATCAATTAATCAGAGCCATATAATGAATACCCCCTTCATTTAATTCAGTGCAAAGAACCTTCCCAGGGAATAATCTCAAACTCCACGTTACATTCAAATGGCTATATATATAGCTGTAGACATGTAGCCTTCACCTGCATGATTAATTATCTTTGAGGGGAGAGTAGACGGTTAGATAATAGATAGGCCCTGTTTACTGTTTAGAAGTCAAGTGTATTAAGAAAATCCTGCAATTATTTGTGTCCAAAATATTTTGTTTCAAAAGTTGTCACTGCAGTGATGTTGACTGACTGTGACCATTGATATGTGAATATTGATGAATAATGCTGATGCTAAAAGACTATTATTAATTACTTCAGCATTCACGTAACTCATTATATGTTTGACAAAACAAAATTAACTTCAGCTTAACTGTTTAATTAAATTGTACCATGGGCTAATTGACATGCATTATGTATAAAGTAGTATATTGCTATATGCAACGGGGTTAATATTTTGATTAATTGGAGTGGTAAGAATAGAGTATATATGTATATTGGCAGTGATTAGGAGAAGGGCAAGGCATGATGATGGAGTGGAGTATTTAAAAATGGTTAATTAGAAAATGAATTTACCATGTTGATGGTAAAGGCAAAGGGGTACTGGAAAGCAAAACTGTTAAGTTAGCAGGAGGATGAGGATGATTGTAACTTTTCTAATGATACAGCATCGATTTGGCAGTGTAATATAATGATGAGAGTGGGAAAGAACAGTAGTAAAATGATATTGAATGATCAAAGGAGGTAGCATAGTAATAAGAGAATAAAAATGATGATGATCATGAAGTAGAAACGTGCGGCCATCATGAAGCAATGAAACGAGGTAGCCCTCTTTACTGTCACACATATCTTACCCTTTTTCTTTATTCATCAGATAAGTTGGTGGGGATGTCCCATATATGTAATGTTACTGTCTTTCCCACTTGTCCTGCAAGGGATTATCCTTAGTTTACTTTACTTTTTCTCTCTCTTCTCACACTTTTTTTTCCTTCTATCCCAGAGTTGACATTATATATACCACTCTACAAATTAAAATTTGGATGGATATAACTATTCAAATCAAAGTAACAAGGGTCACAATATAGACATAAAATTAAACATATATGAAGTTAAATCCTTAAAGTGTACCTAAATGAAAAGATGAGCGTAAAGTAATAGATTATGTGCATAGTAGAAATATATATACCGAGAAGATATAAAAAGGTAAGTTAATTATTGCAGCAAACCTAGTACGAGAATAAGGTAAATAATTTTGATTTATAGACGACACTTTAGCAATGTTATCATTCATTACCCACAATATTCTTAATTTCTTTTTCCTTCCTTTGGCATCTCAAGTGTTTACCAAACATTTTGGTGAGATAGTTAATAGGAGTTTACTTTTATAAGAAAAAAACAAAAAAAATTAAATAAGAGATTTTGAAGAGTGAAAGGGTGTTGTGTTAAGAAAAGAATAGAGGATGTTACGTTATTATTAGATAATATTAAATTTATAATTTTTGTCATCTATTTTAAAATCTACAATTTTAATCTTTTAATTCTATAAATGCATAATTTTTGTGACCTAACATTATATATAAAAAATATATTAATTAATATTTAAGTTAAATTTTCTTTTTCTTTTTTAGTTTTATTAAATAAAAATGAGATTCAAAATAAAGTTTAATTTAAATATTAACTACCGTATGATTTATCAACGATCAATGAACATTTAATTAAAAAAAATTAAATTAAAAACTTAAAAATAGAAGATTAAAATTAAAAAATTGATGTTGAAGGATGAAAAGAATAATATATATTTTAATTATGATTAATAATATTATTTGAGGTTAGGTGAGGGGTTGCCTGCATCTGAAAATGAGGTTGAGGTGGTCGTAGAAAATAGAGATGAATTGCAGGAAAAAGGTGAGGGCGCCATCCAATGTGACCGAATCTATCACGTGGCGCAACAGTCGAGAGACTCTTTGCCCAATAACACTTTCAATGAAAACCACTCGTCACTACACTTCACCTCACCCTCGGTTACTAGTTCAGTTGCTACACCAATCTATTATTATTATTTTGCCTATTCCATCTTTCAATACTGAATACCATTGATCGCCACTAATTTGGGAGTTAGACACTCTAGACTCCTAGTCCTTCCATTTTGGTTTATCAGTTATCACCCCTGCCAAAACTTCTATCACAAATTATATAATTTGGTATATAGAAATATATTGTATGAATAATATAACTCCTATTATCTAAATTTCAACAAACACATGCTAAAAAAAATAAACACCAACAAATACAGAAGCGAGTTTACGACCAAAAGGGATACGACGTTTTCAAATTTCTTGACAAGCCTACAACGCAGCGGGTATCGCGCCCATCATGCAGACTAATGCTCTCTTTTAATTTTAAATTTCACTTTCAGTACAATTAGTTCATGTATGTATTTCAATGAAATAGGAACTAATTTGAAGAGTTTTCTATATTTAGGACTGCTCAATGTAATTTCTAATACTTCTGTGATAAGTTCCCTTGGTAAAAAAAACTACTTACATGCTGAAGGTGTTGGTTTACTCTAAATAAAAATACATTCATAAAAATATAAGTACACTTTCAAAAACCATTTTACCATTTCTAAACAGCCAATTTATCTATATTTATTTTTGAAATACCATTCTCAAAAATAAATTAACTATTTTAATACCAAATTACCAACTGTTTTTTAAAATCAATCTGTCAAAACCTAAATCAAACGAACCTTAAAACTTTGAGTGAAAAGAGATCATTCCAATGACGGAGATTAATGACATAATCACAATTTCATCACTGGTGGTATCAAGGCTACAAATTAATGTTACTTTAGATAACATTGCAAGTTTTACTATCTTCAGCTTTAACTCTATTTTTGAACGAGATATTCTATCAAACCCAACGTAGGCAGCCAAAAAATGGACTTGGATGCAAGATTAAGGTAAAAACCGATGGAAACAATGTAAAACCGCTCAGTCAAACTGTAAAAACCTTTCCACCAGCAGAGCCAGCCCTCTGTTCACATACGTTGGGACTAGGAGACGCGGTTATCTCATTTAGTCATTCCGATTGTTTATTCCACAGCACCGATCAATTCTGAACAGAACAAAAGAAAACAAGGCATAATTACATCAGATGCATCAACATTGTGGCAAACAACAAAACAGATTGCATTAAATATAAATAAAAATTTTATTCCTTCCCACGGTTAATGATAACGAGTCCACCGATACCTTACTACGAAAGAGCAGGGTAGCATACATATAAACATTGCACAAGTCCATAAAATATTATAATGACATGAAAAATAATATAACTATCCAATGCCTCATATAACAAGGTTCCGATCTCTATCAGAGTTGGTGTCTCGTAGCTCAAGCCAAAGTGTAAAATGAATGGCAATCGAGCTCAAGCCTTTCTATATACCCCCTCAAGTACCTAGCTCAAACACCAACCACAACAGCAATAGCATAGGCCGGTAAACTATTTTAATTCGTTATCGAGTAGCATTCTAGGCATGTACCTGCACCAACAATTCTCACATCAAATGCTTCATAAATTTCACGGCTCGTTCCACTCAAGAAACCCTTAATGCAGAATCGTCTTCCATTCTCCATACATAGCCTGGCATGTCCAATCTTGGCCCAGAAACGGTCCTGTATATGTATAGCTTCTCAACAGGACTACTATCTGGCCTTGAATCTGGAGGTCCTCTTTCATCAATGACTTCAACATTAAGTCTCGGCAGTTTCAGACCCAGCAGTTTACACGCTCCGTAACTCACCAAGCAAGAGGACATCCAAAGGGATCGCATTGTCTCCAGCTTTGCAGCATTCGCCAAAAGGGCTTTGTCACCAAAGGGGCAGTCCCTGATCTCCAGCTTCCTAAGGTTGTCACACCCAGACAGCACATGATGGAGTCCCAAATCAGTGTCTCCAGCAAAAGCCACAGAAAGCATCTCAAGCTTCTTACCATAAGTCCCAATATACTCAAAAACTCGATCCGAAAGGAGCCCAGAAAGGGAAAGGCGCCGAAGATCCTTGCAATGCTCTACAATAGCTCCAAAACCAGCATCCAGAGGTTCACGGGTAAGATAGTCAGGAGCTCGAGGCTCAATAATACAGAGCCTAAAACGAGTCATATTAGGTCTGTTCCTAGCAATTGTATCCAAGGCAGCATTCGACATTTGACGACAAAAATATAGAACTGACTGAAGCTTGGTGCAGCCTTCAGAGACAGAAACAAGTCCCTGCTCTGTCAACGCAACATTTGGTTCTAACCCAAATGGGTCAGAGGGAAAGACCCTCAACTCCCTCAGATCCTTACACGATGCAGCAATCACTTCAAGTCCAGCATCTTCTATGTAATCCAGCACCTATTCCACGAATACCTTTTGATCAGCACAAGAATTTACATTTTACACCACTACTACGCGACACTGAACAAAGATATATATACGTAAACATGAAACATAAAACATGACATACCCATAAACGCTGCAAACTCTCACATTGACTAACAAGCTTGATAAGGTCAGAGCTTTGAATAGTTGCATAACTCAAGTTTAATGACGTGAGGCTGGAGCAGACAGGATAAAGAGCCGGAAGGTAGGATGGGAGCACGTCCCAGAATCCAGACAAGCTCTTCAATTGCTTGCACCCAGAAAATGCTTCTGCTAAGTTTGCAAAGACCTCCGGTCGCATCTCCGTCGAGTAGGTTCCGGTGCCCAACTCAACGAGCTGAGGAGCACCGCGAAGAAGGTTGGCTAGCTTCTCAAGGGGCACTGCACGGTTGAGGCGGAGAGTCTGCAGGTTGGTACACCTACTAACCAGACGCTCTAGGGCAGACAAATTCACCTCATTGCCTAAGCAAGAAATGTTAAGGGAAACCAACGACGTGTACGAATCAGGAAAATGGCTTAGCCAATGCCCACAAATGTCCTCCACTTCACTCTCCCGCAACTCCAACTCCCTCAAGTTCCTATAATTCATTAGCACGCCACGGATTTATCAAGACGCCGTAATCGAAATAAAGAATGCAGCAAATTGAACCACACTGAGCAAAATTACGATACAGTAGTCAATGTCCCAGTATTCACACAATGCAGCACAAGATATAGAAAGAGGAAATTTAACAGGTATATCATATTCACCAAAACTTGGCACTATAAAGGGTATTTTTGGTGTTTAAGTTAATAATTTTCCGAAAAAGCAGAGCAGCAGAAAAGGTAATTTGAGCAATGATTTGGAGAAAAACCTGCAATTGGCGGTAATGGCAGCGAGTCCATCGGTAGTGAAACCCTCGCAAGAGGTGAGGACGAGGACGGAGAAGTTCTTGAAGGATTTGGCGATGAGTTCCAAGCACTCGTCGGTGATGACCATCCTCTTGAGCCTGATCTCCTGAAGCCAAGGGTAGGCAGCAGCCATGGCCTTGATCCAAGGGAAGACGTAGGCGCCCCAACCCTCGGGGACCAAATTGAAGTCAGCGAAGTGCGGCTTGCCCTTGATGGCCACGGATCTCACCTTGGGGAAGCGCTTGACCACGGTGGCCGGACTCACCGCGTAGCAGTTCCCGACAAAGACCCTGCGGCGGCACCAGGCCTCGATCTCGTACCAGGACTTGCAGACGAGGGAGATGGAGCCGCGGTCCTTGTCGCACTCGATGAAGGAGAACACGTGCTCCAGCACCTCCTCAGGGAAGGAGTAGGCTAGTCTCGGCATGGTGAAGCTACCTAGCGAAACGGTGTCGTTTTGGGTTAAGAAGACGAATACGAGAATATCCGCTGCTACGCTTAGATCTGAGAAGCCATTGGAGGTTGTGTAGCTGCGAGAGAGAGAGAGAGAGAGAGAAAGGAGGATAAGGAGTTAGAGTTTGTGTTGTACCGGGTGAGGTTAGAAAGTAACTAGGGTTAAATAGGGTGGGGTGGTGCGAAGAGTGTGGGATGGGCGATGGTGGAGGGGACACGTGGACGTGGGTGAGTTTGAGTCGTTGGATGGGCGGCGTTTCATGATGATCTTATCCGTTGAGAAGAAGAGATGGTTTTTGATTTCTCGCGAGTGATGAGGTGTTATCATGCCTACCGTAATGCCTGTGGAAGTGGAAGGGAATCTCATGATTCCCGTTGCATGGCTTCATCTCGAGAGATGCTCAATGCTCAATGCTCAATGCTCAATGCTCAATGCTCATGGATGGATGCACGTGGGGACCACATTTTCAACCACGCATTCAATTCAATTTTTTTTTTTTTTTTCTTTCTATTTCTCCACTCTCTTTTCCATGGCTTGAAATTTTGTTAATCAAATATTTCTCTAACTTCAAACTACTCTATACGATAACTGTGTGTGTCTGACTATTTCTATATACAGGTGAAATTAAAATATATGAAAGAAAAAAATGCATGATACGCTTATTAAACAATAAGTCGTGTATCTCAATATAGAAAATAAGACGTCAAAAAAAAATTCTAATTGTATTATTAATGAAAAAATGAAAAAAAAAATATATGAATTTTTATTAATTTAATATTTATAATGTGTCAAATTTGAAATTTATAGATTTAAATTTATTTTTTTTAAAGATTTTAATATTAATAATTAAATAATTTAAGATAACTAAACTTAAACAATAATATTTAAATAAATAATAATAAAAAATTCGATATAAAAAAGTTACGTGAGGGAATGAAAATAGTTAATTGAAATATTTTCATTTTAAAGAATAAATACTTTATTTAATATATGAGTTTATATATAACAAGGAAGGAATCCAACTCTTACACAAAGCATTTTACGTTATATATTTTTAATGTTGTTATTTAATTGAAATTTTAATTTTAATAACTCACCATAATCTCAATGGAAATTATTTTATTTTATATCGAATCATATGCAACTTCTTTCACAGTAAATGATTTATAGAATTAATTCCCATTGAGATTATGGTGAATTCTGGTTTGATGAGGTTACATCATTGTTTTTTATCTAGGGTTTGGAAGGAGTGTGTTTTCCACAACAGTTACATTAATCAGAGAAGCAGCCGAGGGTGCCCCACATTTTAATGACGCTAGCATCTATTCTAATGATCCATTCCATTATTTATCATATGAATGGTACAACTATGAATGAGCCAGCTATCATACAACTCTTCCTCTTCAAATCTACTACCACATCAAATTAAAACTCCTATCCTATGTTTCCATAATTATTGCCCTCCTTAACCAACCAAATAAATGCAACATAATCAATCTCCCAAACCTTCATCTTTCTATTTTTTTTTTCTTCTGGTATTTCAGATACAATTGTTGTAAGTTCTATAGTTAACAAATTAACAAAATAGTGGATTAAGCCTAACTCAACCCTATAAAACCGGCTTGTAAGATGAAAGTTGCTTTCTACTTATATACTATTCAATTGCCTAATTTCTAGTCGATGTGGGACGTTTTCCCAATACACCCTCTCATGTGGATAAATGGTGGGTGACCCTTTTTAATGATCTAGGATAGACGGGACTTGAGTTTTTCCCAATACACTCCCTTATGTCTATAAGGCATGCATCAATGGCGGGTGACCCATTTTTAAAGTGGATATAAATGGTTCTGATACCATTTTTAAAAATGGGCCACCCACCATTGATGCATGTCTCATAGCCATAGGCATGAGGGGGTATATTGAGAAGCAATTGAATAGTATATAAGTGGAAAACAACCCTCACCTTACAAGCCGGTTTTGTAAGGTTGAGTTAGGCTTAATCCACTATTCTAACAAACAGTCAAATATGCAAATTACACCGAATAATTGACATACAATTAAAAAATTCTTTCTAAAATTTAATATAAACCGTTGTCCTTTTTTTCGCGTGCATAACTCAGACACTAACTTTTGATTCTATTGGTCCTTTTACCTTAATAGCATGAAATTATTATTATAGCAATAAACACTAACCTTAACCATGATTACAAGTAAGTCTTTGAAAGGTCTTAAATTGGCTCAGGTGGCGATAAATAGCAATGACCCATGCAGATAATGCAATTAGGGAAAAAACAAGTTTCCTGAGCTAATAATTGATTAGCTTTTCAAAGAGAAATAAAGTAAAAATTAGGTGATATTATAAAAATGCTTAATCGGAAAACAAAAGTACAAAAACAAATCAAGCGCACACAACTCCTTTAACCGGTGTAATGCACTATATTTTATCATACAAATATTTTTCTTTAAGAAAAACTAACAAAATTAAAAGTATAATATAAATAAATAATTAAATATTTTTAAAAATAAAAATAGAGTATTCTAAGTGACTAAGATTTGAAACCTTAATCCTTAACATCTCACATCGTTAATGGTGATTTGAAGTTTGAAATTAATTTATCTAGTAATATTCATATGATGAGCTCGTGATGGACGAAGCCAAATCTGACACCTAATATTAGTGGGATATAGTTATTTAAAGAAACCGCAGAATAAGTTAAGCTAGCGTTAATATTAGTAGCAGGGGCGGAACTAGGTATGCGGATACAGGGGCATATTAAACATTGTTTTACTTTCAAAGAAAATTTTGCACTCTCCTATTAAAATTCTTGCAACAAAAAAAATATATGATAATATTATTGCATCAGTTAACTGAATCCAATTAAATAGGCAATCAGATTTTGCTTTATTTAAAATATATTAAAAATTTGCATTATTTATGTTATTATTGTTATAGAATGTGATTTTCACTTTTTTTGGAAATATACTAGTAAACAGATTATATATTATTATCAATTTAGCAATGTAATATTTTTTTCAAGATATCCTATTAATTTCATTTTCTCAAAAATATTCTATCAATAGTTTTCCCAGTACAATTTCTAAATAACCAATTTGTATACAAAAGAAAGAAAGAAACACTCAAATTGTTACAAGTAAAAGTAATAAATATTGTGGAACAGTTTGTTTATATGTTGAGTCATTTTGTTTAAAATTAAAAAAATATGTTTCTAAAAATTGTGTATTAAAAAGATAAATCTTTAAAACTAATTATAATTAAGAAATTCAATCCAATATGTGAAAATATATTTATCAAGAGAAGTTGCCTCTTTAAATAAATTTGTGTGCCTCGAACTCAAAGGACTAGTCTTTAATTTTTATTAAGAGATATCTTGTTTACCACATACTCGTTTTCATTTTAATTAAATTAAATTACATTGTCTAATAAAAGACATAAAAGTTTTATTTAAATGAATTAAATTCAAGTCAAATTTATAGATGTATATTAGAAGTTATTGTATGTGTTTTGTTCGCTTTATTTTTTGTATCAAATACTTAATTTTTATTGTTTTAAAAATTACTAATTATAGAAGTTATTGTTGAAATTATTTAATACATAGTTCCATCCGGATTAAGAGTTTTATTTTAACTCTTTCATCTCTCATAATAAATTTTCTCTTACTTTATATGTTCCTATATATAG